ACACTTCGCACACTGCGTGCCAAAAGCAAACATGCATCAGAAAAAGCATCCCACAGATGGGTGGAAGTGCTTGTTGTCTCTGTATTGAACCTGGAAGAAACCTGACTAATATTTTGGGTTCCTTATAATGAAGTGCTGTTGAACAGTGCTGGTGGTGAGCAGGGAAGCCCTCAGCTGTGTTGCACAAGAAGCACCCCGTGAGCAGGACTGTTTCCATACTCTGCCCCTCACATCAGCCCTGACCTTGTGGGAAAACCTTTGTGGAAGGGATGGTTCAGTTTCCAAAGAACACTTTGTTATGAGGCCAAGATGTTTCCATTCTATTTGAGTTGCTTGCCTGCAGCTATGTTCTCTTATACACACTGTGCTTCCCACGTCATCTGCTACAGGATCCCAAGAGAGAGTATTCCACAACCTAAAAAAAATCCTTAAAAATACACTAGAAGTGAAAAACGACACATGTCACTTACAGGGTTTCCATGAACGCATTGCAACAAAATTAGAGACAGGAAGTACAGAAATAGTGGGATCTGTACAGTGTTTAACCAAATTTAACTTTATATTTAAATGATCGTCTCCCTGACATCCCAGAATAGAATCAGCTGTGATTTATCATGGATGTCACAACAGAATCTGAGGACACTTCCTTCCCCTCTGGCCTCCGGATTGGAACAGCTTTGTCCTGGGTAAAATTATGGTGCTAAAATGTCAGTCTTGTTCCCAGATGACATCTTCCCAAGAGGCCCAATTTTTAATGTCAGCACAAGGCGCAGCCCCAAATGTAGAGAAAGGCTAGCTCCTCATTCACATCACATTCAGCGCTGTTCCAATCTTACCTTCTACAGAGGTGCTTTGCAGCTGCGCTTCCAGCTAGCAGGAGCTGGGAAGGGTTACTGGGAAAAACAAGGTGGTAAAAAACACTGCTTTTGTTTAGTGCCCAAGCACTGCAGGGTGACAGCTGGCCTTTGGGCCTCCAGTTTACCACAAAGAACAAAGGCAATCAGACAAAGCTGCAAAGATCAATCCGTGCTTGTTTAGACACTGAGGAGTGGGGGATGCATGCACAAGCCACTGGCAGTGAGATTTATCTCAGCATCTGCAGAAATGGCTTTTCCCCAGCACCACACTTTGCATTTCTGCTCAGAAAGGAGCCTGTTTCTCCAGCAGTGTTGCCATAACGTCAAAATACTGTACAAAAACAACTCAGAGACACTGGGGTGAATGTAATCGCTGCAAACAGACTTTTAGAGGAAAGATCACTTTTGCTAGTGCTAGGCAGAACGGGAATGAGTCTTTTTCTCAATGTGTGGTGGCCTTAGCAAGACTCATCTGTTTCTCCCTTTGTAAAGTGCATGAGGAATAATTACAACCAGTTTTGAAAGGGATTTGATGTCCTTGTATGAAAAGCACTATGGTAAATGAAAAATATTTTTATGTTTAGAATACTTCATCTCTGAAAATACGTACAAGTGCCAGTAACATTAAAAACAGAAAATCTTATGAAAATCGTAGCCAAAAGCAACAGAGACCAATCAATAAGTCTTTACAATTTTGGTGTGGAAACAACATAATCTCTGTGCAACACGCAAAGGCTGCGTGGAGCAACCCAGCCTTCGGAATCGTTCACATGTTTTCTAAGTTGCTCTGAGTTTTACAAACATTCTCCCTTTAATCTAAGCTATTGTTTTTCCAAGAGAATTTGAATTAAAAACATGAGCTTTTTAAGCTAAATATAAGTCCATTGTACACAAACAATTAAAATCTCTTTTAAAAACAATTCTCATTCTACGTGCCAAGGGTTATACAGTCTCAAATAGTGTGAATCCTCTGCCTGGTTTCACTCAGTGAAAAGACTGTTCTGAAAATCCATAAAATCAGATAAAGATCGGATTCAAAACCTCTGGCTTTCATTATATATCTTCCTTGGTTTGTTCTTCAGGAATATATTTACAACTTTTGGGAGACTATGTTGCTTTTTTATTACTGTTTTAAAAAAATCCAAACAACCATTACATCTGGACAGAGATTCCTGCACATCCTGCACACAGTGGCAGTAGGCTTTGGTTAGAAGCATAAGAAGCCTGGGCTAGCATATGAGAAAATGAGATTGAACTGTATGAGCAAAGGAACTGGAAATCAATTGGTCTGTTTCCAAGATGCACTCTGAAACTGCTTCCACATTTGTCGTAGGCAACCAGAAGCCATCACAGCTGCCAAAAGAAGCAGTTAAACATTTCCCGCACCGCTGGGCTTTCTTTCATTCCTGCTCCCACACAGTTCCTCTCAGGTGTCAGCAGCAGCACGTGCACTCAGCCTTTCCAGCAGCTGCTCCATGCCCATGACCACTTCAGCTGCCCAGCTCTGTGCCTTCTCACACCCCAGTGTGTTGGTGAGATGCAGAGAGCTGCAGGGTGGAGCTGGGGGTGCTTGGAGCTTTTCTGTAAGCAGCAAAAAGCTGCCCTGTGTCTTGTTCTTCATTCCCCTTGAAAGTTTTGTTGGAGTTTTTTTCCACTGCTCTTGCACACTGAGCTGTTCATTTTAGAGAACTGCTGGCAATGACTCCAGGATCTCCTTCCTAATTTATGAGTGCTGCATTCAAGTTCAGCATCATTGAAGCAGTTTGTGACATTCTTCTCTAGATGCATTCCTTTACATTTATCTAGACTAAAGTTGCACTGCTTCTTGAGAACCTTCTAAGTTTGCTCAACACTGACACAAAATGCCCAAAGGACATTTACTTTTGTTTCTGTCAACAATATCTTCTCTACCAGAGAAATTCCGTATTGTTCTAAGAATGCTTTTGCTAGCATAGAATGTTCTGTATGGTACTCCTTAGCTTATCTGGCCTTTTTCCTTGCACTGAAGCTCTTCTGGCCACCTAGACACTGATAGATTACTGCCACTTGTTTTTATAGGAGAGCTGTAGTGATGAATACTTTTCTATTACTCACTCGCATATGCTTTTAATAGGAAATGGTAACAAGGGTTCCAGCATCGTACTTAGAAAGTTGCTAGTTAATCCCCAAATTTATGATGTGTCCAGCTCAATTACACAGTTCAAAGCACCCTGCTTATTGACCACAAGACTTTGAATATTTTCCTCTCACTTTGCCTGTTCTACAAAACTTCTGCAAGATTAAGGCACCCATGTGAAATGTCCTGGAGAAGATTTTACAGTGCTTGGGTGTTTCCAAAAATTTGGATGCTCATTTACTCCATTCACATAGGAGTCATGTCCCAGAAGACTCATGATCTGGTGGCACCCTCTCAGCACCACAAGCTGCAGAGCCTTCCAGGCCTTTTGTCCCACCCCTCCTGAGCTGTCATGATGGTCAAAGTAATAACCCTGCATGCTTACACAACTCAGCACAAATATTGCTTCAGAACAAGTTTTTAGAGAGGAAACTGTGTCCTGGAAAAGTGATACATTCATGAATCTTCTTCATCCTGTGCTTATTTTGCTGGACTGCTGTGCACCAAAGCTGGATTTTTCTGAAGTTCTGCACCCAGTTCACATGTGACATGCTTATGTCCTCTGTGGGACCGGCATGGAAATGGAGATCATTTGAAAAGCTGGCACACAGTGCTTTGAGAAGGAGTGACAAACTAGAAAGCTGGCCTGCTTCCCCTTCCTACTGCTCTCAGCCATGTCCTGGCTTCTGAAACCTGCTGGGAAAGCTCTGTGTATGCTGTGATTGAAAGCAGCTGCACGAAAGCGTCTGGGCACAGAAAGTTCTTTTGGTGGCTGCAGCCTCTCCATAAGGAACCATGCCTACCCTCTGCCTGGCAGGAGCATACAGAGGGCAGGAGAAATCCGCACGCCCGGGTCTCCGGGGCCTGTGGGTGGATTAGCTGCGGTGCCACTTTCCGTCAGGATCTGTTTCCCACACAGCGTGACGGAGCGCACGTCTCAGCAGCACGCTGCAGGCACCCGGCTCGCCTCTTCCCATCGCTGCCTGAAGCCTTTTGCAGACCTCTTCTGACCAGTTTTGCAGAGATGAATGTTCAGACTATCTTTTCTGTAGTTTAATTTACATCTGTTTTATATATTATTTGCAGTTTTTTCTTTATCTGGCTCATTCCCTCCCGATCACTCTTTGCTTTCTCTTCCCTCCCCATTATCCTTGATAACCGAGTTGATTGCAGTTCGTGTACAGTTACATGCTGTCATCCCTACAGACCTTCCAGCCGCCAGCTGTCTCAACACTACACTCCTATAGAAGTCATTCTTTCTTCACTCCCTCTGTCTGGCTCACCCCACTGAAGGATTCTGAGTCCTTCCTCAGCTTTCTCATAGCTGTTGTTAGCCCAAATTCACTTTTCCATGCTTAGAGACACAGGAGTTCCCCAACACGGTACTGATCCATATTCCAACGGACCATTGCAACTACTGCCACATAAAAAAAACAGTAGATGAAATGTATCCCAGAGGATACAAATGTGAGCTAGTTCTTGTAAATAACCCAGGGCAGCCTGATCTGGTGGGGGTCAACCAGCCCCTGGAGGGGGTTGGAACTTAATGATCTTTACATTCTCTTCCAACCTGAGCCATTCTATGATTTTATGAACCCACTGCTCTCTGAATTCTGCAGAGGAAAAAAGGGTTTATTTTCCTGAAGAGGAGCATCCCATCAGCTCCAGCACTGAAGGGGCCCTAATGCAGGGCACAATAGGCCAGGGAGAACAACAGAGTGTAGAGTTGGAATCAATTGAAAATGCAGAGAAACTAGACAGGCAGAATGGGATTATTCAAAGTGGAACGAGAGCAGGGCACTGGGGTGACTGTACCTCACTGCAAACACGGCTGCGATGACTGAGAGCCAGAAGGACCTTGTTTTAGTGAGCAGTCAAGGGGAAGCACATCAAACAGGCAGCGGGGAGATAAAGCGGGGAGCAGGAGCGTGGTGGGTGGATGGAGGCACACGCTGGTGCCCGGCCGGAGGAATGTCATGGCTTCACTTGTGATTGGCTGCTGAGTGGAGGAGTCAGTTTTCACGGGGGTTGATCAAAAAGTTTCCTTTTGCTTTCCAAAGTCGCTGTCTGAGCAGAGGCATCGGAAGAGGAGGCCGGTTGCTCTAACATTCCTCGGGAAAGCGACTTAAATGCAATGAGAAGGCTTCTCTTCCCAGGGACACGCAGCCAAGAACAGACACAGAGAAGCTGTTTTCCTTCTCTTCTCTCCCAACTCCTACTGGAGTTGATCAGCTCTCATTTCTGGCATGCGTCTCAACTCTCAGGATACCATGTCACAGTATTCTACTAACTTTCTCTTGCTTCCCATACCAGAGTATCCGGTATTAGACTGCGTGCCCAACAAAATCATCAAGCTGGTGGTGCTGGGTGGCAGCAGTGTTGGCAAGACAGGTAAGCCCGCGGGCATTGCTCACACCGTTTGCTTGCTGCCGTGCTACCTGCAGCTTTGCAGCTCACAGCCACGGCTATGAAAACTCTCATAACCTTTGCAGCCAAAGCATTTCAAGTTGCTTTGTTGTTTGTTTTGTTTTGTTTTTGTTGGCTTGTTCTGACTCATTTGTGAGGCAGGTTTGCTGCAGGGCTGTGACCAGGCAGCGTGAGGACAGGGCAAAGCGTGGGGAGCTCTGTACTCACAAATGAATCTCCGTGGCCCTGTGTGAATCATTTAACCGCATCTTCATGTCCACACCCCCAAAAACGGGGCTAGTGATTTCTGTTCTCCTGCTGTGAATGCTGACTGCTGTGTGGACAAATAATAGCACACAGGATGTGCCTGCCTGCACTATTCTGCAAAGGAGAGGAGAGGAGGATAAAGCGAGCGTTATTGCTTTGGAAGAGATGGTTCACAATCCGTTTTTACTACATCTGGGGTTTCACGGTGTTCAGGAAAGTGTTCAGTTGTTTTAGATTTGAAGCAGCTACATTTCTGTATTATTTTTAGGTACTTTGTTGAAGCACACAGTCAATTTCACTTAAAGGTACCAAGGAGGTGACTCAGTACGTACTGAGAAAAATATATATATTATTTTAAATGAAATAAATCTATGAGAAAATTGCTTGCAGGATAAAATGGAGTGGTTTTGAAAATGTTTAGGAATCTGCTGAGATGAAAGCAGTAGAGGAATATAAGTCACCGTGGCCGTAAAGGGGCTTTAAATGTTATCAGGAGATCACAAAAATGGAAAATGTTCAAATTCAATAGTGCATGAAAACACCACGGGTTAAGATGAGTAAGTCCAGAGCACTGGAGCATGACCTGTGTGTGTACAGCACATGCAGTTTGTTTGCTGGATGTAATTAGATATCACTAATGGATTTCACCAGGAGGACTGAGGATTTTTAAGGCTGGGAAGAGCCATTTGATCCCTCAGCCACACTTCTGATATGGCACAGAGGCCTTAAAGTTGGCATCTGGATTCATTTCAGTACTGTAAGGGTTTGGCATGTTACTCTTCTCCTAAATTATTTTAAACCAAAGGTCAGATTGTCACATCTGCCGTCACAACAAACAGTCCTCCGCAGCCCACACCACACAGCCTCACTGAACGTGAGGGGTGATTTACAATACAAATTGTAAAGCACTGCTTTAGCTATCACAGTTTGGCCCCAATCCTTTTTTGTGAGTGCAGAGAGAAGGATTTTCAGAATAAGAAGTGAGCAATAGCAAGATTAAGTTGGTTTCATATTATACTAACTCTTCCAGTAAGATACTACATGTGTTCTGACTTTGGTTCCCATTAAAGGCCCATATTTTTTTCATTGTTTTACAGCTCTGGTTGTGCGCTTTCTCACTAAGAGATTTATTGGAGACTATGAAGCCAACGCTGGTGAGTCTGTTTTCTGCTGCAGTGCTGTAGATAGCTTGAAAAGGAATCCGCTCTCTTTTGTGACTGGTGCACATTACAGGAAAGCCGAGCAGTGTTAGATGTCCATGAGGTGCATATTTTCAGTTAATAGCCTCAAGCTATGAAAGCAATAAATCAAAGCCTCATTATTCACGTTCCTGTTAGCCATTTTTTCCCCCAGCTTGATGGAATAGGATCAGAGTAAAAAGGCTTGCTTGGGAATATACCTATACTAAAGTGCAGGCTCCAGGAGCAACTTGTATATTGACCAAACCACAGAGAGCCAGCACTGCTCTGCAGCCCCTGGGAAGCCAGAGGAATTCCAAAGCACACAAAAGGCAATTCAGAACTTTTTTTCCCCGTGTATTCCTTTTCTTTTGGTGGATCTTGTGGCACTGGAGAATTTCAATTTGAAGTCTTCTTTCTGCAAGATAAGCAAAGGGGCTGTGCAAACTCCTACTTCGTTTCTTGTTTCATTCTGACACCTCAGGATATGTGTTCATGTGAACTGTTTAACTCACAGCCTCTGTTCCAAGTAAGCACTGACTGTTTCAGCCAGGACTGTAGAAAGTATCACTGTGATCATACCTATGAGCACATCCCACACGTAGGCTATCTAACATTTTTTGAGGGGGTGAAAAAGGAGGGGATAAAAAGCAGTGACACATACTGAATTGAAGACAGAGAATTCAGAACAATGAGGCAGGAACAGAGATGGCAATACAAGACACGTTTGATCTCCGCTTGTCTGATGAAATGAAGTCTGAAAGCTCCTCCGTACAGCCTCCTCTCCCTGACCCCAAGCAACCTTGATGGCTGCCTCACTATTTCTCTTTTTTTTTTTTCTCTTCGTCTTTTCTATGGGAGACTGTACATCAAGTCAGACTTCTGAGCTTTGCAATGGATCATTGCCGAGAACCACATGCTTTTCTCATTAAGCTACCAGCCCAACAGCCATGCTGTAGAAGAAACAAATATGCCAGAAATAGGAAACAGGTGGTAGTGTATTTGTGACCATTCAGGCATGCTTCTTCTTCAGTGAGCATAAGGCAGAGCACAGCCTATGTCTGGAAGTACTAGGTCTTTTTTTCTACAGTGTACTACAGAGCAAGAATGATATGTTGCCTGGTCTCAGTTCAGGGGTGCAGTACTTTCCCATAAACCAACATCATTTTTCCTGCTTAAAAGCCAACGTGTTTTGAAGAAAAAGCTCCCCAGGAGGGTTATATTACCTCACAGAGTCAGTATTAAAATATAGTATGATAATGTTGGATCCAGATGCAGCAAACTTTGCTATATTGAATTTCCTTATATTGTAAATACTTCTATGAGCTCTGGATATTTACCACTGGAATAAAAGCACTTGTTTCCTTGAAGCAAATCTAACACAGGCAATTTTCAAAGTGATGGCATTACTGTCACTAATGGGCCACTCTGTTAGTCTGCAGTCCTTACTCTCCAGTAGGTAGGATTTCTCTAGGTTTGAGATGCTGGGCATTGTTTTATGGTGTAGAAATGACAACTGTAGTTGGACAACACTGAAACATCACACACAGCAGCTGTGGATATAGCATTTCTTGCACATCCATGTGACTTGCACTAAGTTCTAAAGAAAAACGTCAATAACATTAATCTCTGAAGCTGTTCTTATCATAACCATGGATATTTTGCAGGATGAAAAGATTTCTTTGTCACTTAGTTTTACTCCTGTAACAAAATAAAACTCAAGCCCAGAACAGTGATGCTCTTCAAAGAGCTTGGTTAGCCCCATGGCTCTGAGCCAGGACATGGCCTTGAGAATCAGTCATTCACACTAACCAGAACTCCAATTCAAACTGTCCAGTCTTTGGGGATTTCAACCAAGCTCTGACTGCAGAAGTCACACAAATCCTAGAGAACATCTGTGTTTTTTTCTGTATCTAGTCACATGCTCTGCATCCAAACCTAGAATACTCTCCTTTCTTATGACAAGTAAATAAATAAATCCCCCAAAAACACAAAAGGAAGCAGCTCACTTAATTTACAGTAAACACCCAGATAGCTTGGCTTGAGATTAAGGGTATGCACTACCTCCATTTTAAAATACAGATTAGAAACCAGAATGCGATTCATGCACCTGTTCTAACAGAATATTTGACTCAATACTAAGTGCTGACTTTCCTGTATATCATCCTGGAGGTACAGTGGAAACATTCAACCACATAACAAATACAGAACCACCTGACTTAAATACACAGCCACACATTCTTTCTGGTTCCACTCACCTTTCTATACACAGCTATGAATCATAAGCCTCAAATTCTGGCTTTCAGCACTTCCATTTTCCCCTTATGTACTATTTCTTTGTTGTCATAGTCACTGCCTCTAACGATCTTGCTTTTCCACCAGGTGCATTGTATTCAAGAAAATTCACCATAGATGGGGAACAGATCTCCCTACAGGTGCAGGATACTCCCTTTGTTTCACTGGAGGTAAAACATCTGCTCAGTGCATCAGTACTTTATAACACAGTTACTGTCTCTTGTTTGTTGCCAGCACGTTAATCTGTAAATAACTCAGCTTTCCAGAAGAAATACACCTGGGCTCAAACCCAAATGAATTCTTACAGGTGTACCTTAAACCCCATCAAAATGAGCCCCTGCAGAGGTTAAATCAGGTTTCTTTAAGAGCAAGTCAAAATTAACACAAATTTGTGAGGGTATAGGTCTCACAGCAGTGGCTATTTCAGCTAGAGCGCTTTTCAATGCTTTCCTTCCTTGTTTTTTAATTGTATTTATTTTTTATTTCTCAGCTGTTGGCATTTACATACTTTCCTATTTCTATTGGTATTTGAGATATTCTAGATTTAGCGTTTGACTGGGAGCCAAACAGAATCTAGAATTAAGATGTCTTTCTCAAAAGAGCAGTTTTACTTGCAGAACAAGATGATGAAAATGATGTCAGAAGAGCGGGAATGGAATGAAGTTTATTTTTATGTGACAGGTGAAAATCTCAGGGGAGTAATAACTTCTATTAAAAAAAAGCTGAGATTTCATGGTAAAATTAGGTATCCTCTTGTTGCTCCCAAATCTAACCTTCTGAAAAGCCATTCCTGAAGTCTTCCAACTATTCTGGTGGGTCTTCAGAGAACAAAGACCCTATGCCAGTTTGTACAGAGAAGACACTGCAAGGAGAACCTGGTGGTGGTTCGGCACAATGGGGAATGCCCAACAATGGTAGCAAAGGGAGACCCCTCCCTGCTCTATCCCTTGAAGAAAGGAGGGAGTGAAGCGATTTAACTCCTTTCACAACGGATACAAGTTTATTTTCTGATTTCCCTGTTTTAATTAAAACTGCCTGAGAATTTAGAGACTGTAACCAGAGCTCTACAAAATGTAGTAACACCAACAGCTGAGGTTTCCTAGTCAGAAAGTATTTTAATTTAGTTAGGAAAGAGTTTCATTTTCTTTGTCCCATTCAAAGGTCTGCACTGCTTCAACAATTCCCACAGACACACTTATCTTAGCCTGGATCTCTGCTGGCATCAATCAGTGTATCTGAAAGCATTTTAAAGGACTGCTTCTGACCAGAACTTACTAAAAGTGAGAATAGGTTGGACTTGCTGGTAAAATCCTTAAGAAAGACTGCTGTGTGCAGGCATTTCAGGAGGAAGTCATGTAGAATCCTCAGGACTGCAGCCACACTGGAAATCTTCATGTTTAAGAGAGAAACAGAAGCAAAGAGATAACTGGTTTTGTTAGGTGATTCATTGCTGATGGCCTACACATTGCAAATCACTAGGCCTTTCAAAATTTGTTCTGGAGCAGAGATTTCCATTTAAAAATGGCCCATTAGTCTTTGATTTTCCCCAGTAAAGCATTCCAGTGGGGATTATCCATCCATCTCACTACTGGGTGGGCCTAGCTGGAGTAACTGAGAGTTTCTGCTCATTAGGGTTCCCTTCAAATGTGCACCTTCTCCAAAAGCATTTTCAAGCTTGCCAGAGCAATTAGTTCTTTCTCCTCATAAAAGGAGTTTGCTGATGAAAAGAGGCAAGCAGGATGTGAAGGGTGGCTAATTATCTACAGATTGGACACAACCCAGACACCAACAGTGCAAATTGCCCTTCTTCCCACAGTCTGCCCCATCATGGCTTGAATTTGCTCTCATTTGCCTTTGAAGCAGGGCTGCTACAAGGCTCCCTCTTCCTTCTGTATGCAGCCCTGGTTGGTTTTTTTTTTGTTTTGCTGTTTCTCAGATGGGGAGCACAGAGAGGAGGGTGATTAGAGCATCTGTTAAGCAATTTCACTGCTAGTAAAATACATCTAAGATTTAGCTTTGTATTACTGTAAGCTGGCAAGAGCAAAAAATTACTGAGTGTGATGAGCCAGTGACTGTATTGGCCACAGTGCAATATGAAAAGGGCAGTTAGTTCGCAGAACTGCTGCTGAAAGCTGTAAGCCTAATTTGTAACCTGAGCCTTCAGAAATTCTGCTTCCTCCTTCCCACAGAAGAGTCTTGACTGTAGTCCTTCTTCTAATTGCCTGATGTGCCATAAAGAATGAATCAGTTTTGCCCATGCTTTTCCTCCTTTCCTTCCTGAACTTAGGCTTTATAATTCATGTTTAGATGTCTAAATAAAAGCAACACAGTTTGGGAGGTTGCTGGGTGCACACAAATCCTGTTGAAACATATGGGAATGGCAGATATGTGCTGTGTAGACAGATATTCGAGCATACATTCTAATACTTCAAATTTCCATGACTGATAATGAACAGTGATTACATTTTTACCGCACACATTTTTTATTCTTTCTTATGATAAACTAGGTTTCTGCCATAAGACCTCTGAACACTTTTGCAGGTGTTCTATGCCTTTGGAGTGAACTCATACATGTACAACATAACAATTTATGAATGATGTTGAAGTATCTGAAATGTTGCCTGTGTTAGTTCAGGAAGATAAGATCTGACATGTTATGCCGGATCTATCCTCCCCAGCCAATCAGCTGAATTGCTTATTGTGCTAATTACATTGATTTAAAATGCCTCCCCTAAGTCTTACTGAAGTTGATGATGTGTTGAATGGAATTTAGCAATAATAGAAGCAAAAAAATTGGGCTCTATTTGTGATGTTGAACTCCCACTAAAGAACACAGAGGAACCTCTTATTCCCTACAACTTCAACAAGGGCTGAATATGTTCAGTGCCTTGTTGGGTATGGAAGAAAATGCAAGGTTCCAAAAAGCCTGGATTATTGACAGGAATGTCCGTTCTTATCAAACGAAGCTTACTGGTAGTAACTGCAGCACTGGTCTCCCTGTCTAGTTGGGAAACATGCCAGCAGGGATAACAAAAAAGAGAGGGGTAGCTGAAAATAGCCTCATCTTGAAAAGTAAGCAGATCTCTTTTCAAGCTCCATGGTATTGTGGTATTGTATTCTGTTTTATACTCTGCACACTGGTGCCTATTATGACTATATGAGTAGGAGCTGTGCTGGGCAGAACAAACGTGTGACCAGCAATGCACTAACATAAGCCCACTGCAGCTGCACGAACGACTAATGAGATTTCACCTCATTTTCAGTTCCAGTAATTGGTTATTTGCAACAAATTGCTTTTTCAAAGTAATCTTGCTTCTCGCTATTGGAAGAAGTGTATGGCAGTAAAACCTGTCAAGCTTCACTTAATAGAGTTAGTGAGAATCCCTGTCCATGGAGAGACAGAATACAGAATTGGAAAGAGCCATAAAACTCAGCTTGGGGACCGCCATTCACTTGCAGCAGTGTGAATAGCCTGCTGAGATTTTTTAATGCTTCCATTCACCATTTTACCCACACCAAAAGGTCAGGTTACTGTCACTGTTGTAAGGATTCACCAGATGAGAATACAAAATGAACTTGTTAGTATCAGCACTAGGTTGTTCTCTTATTTTCAACATGGCGGCTTTGATCCCTCTCCATTTTTCTGCTGCTTTAACGTGCTACTGACACAGATGGAACTTTCTCCTGTCCCCAGTGCATGCCCAGCAATCAGAGAGGTTTCTGCCTTGTGCTGAGCAACAGCCACACACTAAAACCCCGCCCTGCTGTACGACTGCTCCATCTGCTCCCTATTCTCAGTTTTCTAATCTCATTCCTCTTGGTTTTGACGGCAGGATGACACTGACAGCATCTGCTGCCAGGAGCAGATCAACCGCTCGATCTACTGGGCAGATGGCTTCGTTTTCGTTTACTCCATCACAGAATACGAGAGCTACCGCGTCATCCGGCCCCTGTACCAGCACATCCGCAAGATCCACCCCAACGCTAACATCCCCCTGCTTCTGATGGCAAACAAAGGAGACCTTCTGCGAGCCAGGCAGGTGTCCTCCAAAGAAGGACTCCAGCTGGCCAGCGAACTGGGAGGTACTTACTATGAAGTCTCAGCGCGGGAGAACTGCGAGGGCGTGCACGAAGCCTTCCAGCAGCTTTGCCAGGAGGTCAGCAGGATGATTGGCAGCTGCAATGGAGAGAAACGAAGAGGCCTCCACCTTGTCCGACCCAAGTCTCCAAATATGCAGGACTTAAAGAGACGTTTGAAACAGGCTCTGACTTCCAAAGGGAAATCTGCCACTACGCTTTGATGTAGCTGATAAAAATAGTTTTCCACACCCCTGGACAAAAGGCAAGCAAATAAACTGGTGTTTAAGGGAATCTCCAAAATACAGTATTTGGGTTGTGTGAGAGGTCCCTTCATTCTCTCTGTTTATCTTCCTTAAAAATTCCATGTTTGTTCATCAGAGGAATTCACAGAACGTTCTCCTGTGGCAAGAAAGTAGAAACTGATTTAAGGTGTAGATTGTCCCAAATTATTTCTTTCCCAAAAGGAATGCAGTCAAATAGTTTAGGCATAAAATGTAGATTTTATTAATAAAATAAATAAATCTTACTGATTTATTTAGAGGAGTGGCTTCTCTTGGGGACAGCTGTATTCTTGAGTGTGGGCAATAAGATACAGCAAGGCACCAGGAGAGTGACATGAGCTATACTGAGCAAGCAAAACCAAATTTGCTTAGTCACAAGACTGGAAAATAAAGACAAAAAGTAAATGATAAGCATAAGTAGTAAAAAGTAATAATTTAACAAATATAATTAATTCAAATCTAGAACACTTAGAAGGTGTTCTTAGCAACATGGGGAGAGATTTGCAAGCTTCTATAAGATATAAGCTTTTATAAGATTTTTTAGAACTATAACAATTTATTTCAGATTATTTTTCTTTAAACGCATACCATTTCTGAAAGGGATTCTGTGGGCACAGTACTTACTTAGCACCATTTGTAGACAGATTCTCAGTGGTCTACTTCTCATTTTTGTGTAAGTTTCCTATGTGGTAATGTGGAACAAATAGAGCAGCGTGGCTATAAAACCTGCAGAGAGCAAATGGGCAGTATTAACCAGGAGCAAGGATGGGATCTGAAACAATATAACCTTTTTTCTAAACAAATTAGATGTCATGCTCAAGATGATCTTTTAAAGAAACAAGGCCTTTACTCAAAGTATATTTGATTCATTACAATTTTTTGGAATTATTTTTCAGCAGAAAGGGTTTTGTGATGCCTGAAACACCTGGCTTCAGGAATTTATCATTTTGTTATTTGCCTTCAAACCAGGTTCTACTCGATCCCTTGCAGTGCATCCAAATCACCAGTCTGTCGATAGAGATCTCACTGGCAGTTTCTCACTGCAGTTGTTCTCTCTGTGTGCCAAGGGCTTTGAAGCTGCATCCTGTGAGCAGGCCAATTTTAGGGTCGCAATAACAACAGTATGAGGCACCCATCATTCTGTTCCTAATGGGAATGGAAAGAAACTGGGTTGGATCATGCAGAAGTTGTGGTACAACGACCTTTTCTTTAAACACGCCACCCAAGCACTTCACAGGATCATGGAATGGATTAAAACTCAATGATTTACACTGAGGAACACAGGTGGGGAAATCCTAGTTCCATGGATGTGGAAAAACACTCCCAGCTGCAGCAGTACTGAGCTAACTCAACATTTTACTCATGAACAGCAAAAATGCAAATTGAGTCTGATGAGTACCCATACAGCTCAGGGCTTGAAATTCTGTTTTATGTTTATTTGCCCCACTGTTGGACAACTCTACTCATTATTTTCTTCATCACTTGGATTTGCTTTACCTACAGCTCACCTTCTGGTTTGTTTATTGTTCTCCACTACCAGCATTCTGAGACATTCTGATTAATTTGAAGCTCTTCTATACACACAAAGCTGTGCTTTTTTTTGTTTTTAGTGAGCTTCAATTGGTAGTAGAGAGTGAAACAGAAAGTTGGATCAACCAAACAGGGACTCAAGCAATATTAAGGGATTTGTACTTAGCTAATGGTTTCTTAACAGCTTAACAGTCTAGCTGGGCCATTGTCCTCTTGGCATTTTGGAACTGCATTTTTTAGCATGAGATTTCAGTCTTCCAAAGTACTAACAGCATAGTTCAAACAGCAAATCTTTAACATTAAAATGAGCAAAGAGATTGTGAGAGACAAGTGAGCTGAACATTGTTTGCATCAGAATAGTGATTGCCAGTTTTGAAAAGCAACCACATATCTTACCATTCCAGTACTGTATAGTTAGGGGTCAGTTTACTGAAGACAGCTTGCTGAAATTTGTTTTCATAAAAGCCTTAGGGAATTAGGTCCTCTATCTCATTAAATTTGCTTGTAACTCCTCTTTCGGTTCTGATCCTTTATTTGGGAAGAGAGTTCAACACGTTTCAAAACTGCCAATGTTTTCTTTTCGGTAGCGACTAATAAAATCAGACAAGGCCTTTCCTGAGTAATATATAAAATGTACATCTCATATCTTTAAATGTTCTTTGTTTATATTAGGTAAAAATATTTTTTTTTCCTAACACCCTGCTTTGGAAGCACACGCAAGTACTCCTATGTTTGCACTCCTACATATGTATTCCTGCATTCCCGTGACATCCATGTTTTAGCTAAGGCCAAAAAATATTGAAATATTTAAGTCTTCTCCTAAATATTAACATGTGGCTAGCATTTATTCTGCCACAGAAACTGGAGTATAGCATTTCCTTCGTTCATTAATCGGCAATACAAACCTGGCAGTAGCTTTGATACTGGATTTAAGCCAGGACTTACCATCTACAGGGGATGATCGAGCTCAGCATTTTTATTCACAGCACAGTACTGAAACATCAGAGCACAATGCTGTGCCACTGATGCTCAGCAAGGCTGAGGAAGGAGAGCAGTAGCATGAAAAGTATAGAGAAGAGAACAATACAGAATTCAGTGCCTAAAAATCACCATGTAAAATATCAAAGATTAGCCACAGAGAACCCTATCCTGAGCCTCTTCGGGCTGCCAAAGGGAAATATACACTCTATTGGAGCTTTGAAATGAAATTTCTAGAGAGAAGGTACTTGATGAAAAGTCAAGGGAGAACGTGAGAAAGCAATTTGAGGGGAGGTGGTGGAGTTTGTGGTTTTGACTGGGAGCAGGGGATGGGGGTTTGAGAGATTCTGGTTATCAAGAAAATTCTCAGTTATTCTGCTTAAATCCAAATCAAACCTATTGGAAGCAATGTGCTACAGAATTAACTTTTTTTTCCCCTCCCCACATACCTCTTCATTTTCCTGAATGATTGAAACCTTGTGCACCATCTGGTTTCTAAGACGCCTTGCAGCTGGGTTCACTTGGGCACAACGCAGTTGAGTGATCTGCCCCCAGGTTACACAGCTGCGCCGAAGTGCTTCCGCCGAGCTCAAAACCAGAGTCCTTTGTAACATCCATTCCCAACACTTCCCAACAGCTACCAGGCTGTACTGCCTCCCTCAAGGATGCACAAAGCACTGTGAGTAGCACTACATGAGACTGTAACTAAAAGTTGGAAAAAGTCACTGGAATGACAGACTGTGCTAAGAACGCACTGAGTGAAGCATTTCTGACATCCTGAGCATTGCAGTAGCAGCGAGACTGGCCTGTGAGTCACTGAAGATATTAGTAAATGATCATTTAAAAGATAACTTATAAGGAAAGCCAGCCCCCTTCTGATTTGCTTAGTCAGGATATTTACACATCAGTTGTCTGCATTTTCAGTAGAGATAGCTTACATCTTAACATCTCAGGTTGTTGTGATCCCAGTTTTACATTTGAAAAGCAGGAGGAAAATGGAAAATTCAGACCTCAATTTCAAGAAATGGCTCAGACAGAAATGTTGGTGCCCTGGGTGCCCGCTTTGCACAGGCTCTGTGTCAGGTGTCCAGCTGAAGGAGCACCTTCCTGTGGTGCGGAAAGAAATGTTGCACCAGAGAACCACTGGTTTCAAATGGCAAACTGGAAGACCGCCAGCTCATTGTGATGGTGGGGTTTCCCTGTGCCAAGCTGGAAGGCTTTGGGTCAAATCACTCTGAAGTCTGCAGAGGCAGTGTGTGACCCTGAGGTGACAGAACATGATGACATATTTGCTAGTCTCTAGTTGTTCATGTAATTTCCAAGACCTCTCACGCGCTGACGTTGTCTCTTTTGGGACTAGCACAGGAAGGGCATGCAATCAAGTTAAAAAGATCTCTAGAGCCATTCTAAAAACCTCAAAAGCAGAGACAATGGTCCTAGAAAATGCTGTCCCATCGATCACCTCTGGAGACAAAGCAGGACTCCTCCTTGGATACTTTCTCACCCTCCTCCTCTTGGCTCTCCCTTCCTTGTCCCTCTCCATTCGCGCCTCTGTGCTGGTTTAGTTTGGCAAGGAATACCTCTGCAATAACTCTTCCTTAGGCTTAAAAGAATAATTTTGGTGTTTAGTGTATGATATATTCCAAATATTTTAACTGCAGACATGGTTTATATCAAAACAAAAGTGCCTGCTTAGCCTTTTGAACTTCTTTACCTAAATCATTTTAAATCACACTTAAATCAAGTCAGAAGAACTCTGCATTTAGACAAACCTTTGAATTCATGCCATTTCTCCCTAGATGCTCTCACTGGCTTCGCCCAGTATCTTCCTCCCCTGTAAGCTCATTTCTGTTGCTTAGTCACTGCTTACTTAAACCTGTTTAATTCATGTAAAGTTTTGCTGCTCTTCTCTGAAATCTCTCCAGTTTAATCAAGCAAGTTCTGTTCTCTAGGCAGCTGTGCAAGCTGTGAATGAGTTCAGAACAGCTGGTGACTTTCTGCTCTGTCAGATTTTTGCCCGTTATTGAAGATTTTGGAATAAGCAGGAGCATGGATGGAGATTCATCAGACCAACTTTGAGTCTCCTTTCGCTTGTCAGCTTCCTTTGGTGGCAATAATAATATCCATCACAAGACGGACCAAGTTTGTTCTAAATGACAGTGTTTCAGTTCAATTTCTAGAGAGGGAAAAATGCCAAATATGAAGCGGATAGATGAGTTGATAGGCTCTGTGAACCCTGAGATCCGACTCATTCAGGAGCTGTCACACCAATCCTCTTTTCCTTAGAAGATACATTTCTTAGATTTTCCATTTTATCCAAATGGGTTTCAAGACAGCTTCTGGATCTCATCACACAGACACTTACTGTCTCCTCTGCAGCAGGTCAAGGGGAAGCTGCACATTTTCTAAATGCAGTGGGTGAAAGAATGTATGTCTTGTGCTGTTATTATGGATGATTGTGGAGACTGTTCCTAAGGACAATGTTTTTCTTCTTCTTTCCAGGCAAAAACACAGAATGCTAGCAAAAGTAGCTGGTCATTTTGAAAAGCTGTTAGCTGTGTTTGCTGAACTGTGAGACAAACTGCTTCCTCTGCTGGTTAAAAAACCCACCAGATAAGTGGGGGTTGGGATTTTAAAGATGCAGCCTCTGAACTCTTGCAGAGAGTTGAATTATGTCACTTCTTGATGGGGATCCAGGTTTCCACTTGCTTGCAGGAGCCTTCACTTTTCACACTGT